ATTTGTACTGGAAGGCATTTAACTTGCTTACAGTTCTGTTTTGTCCTTTTGAAACTTGTTTTTAACTTTTTTTTTCCAAAGTAGGTTTAGAATAGAAATCAGGAAATATATTTTTCTATAAAGCTCCAGAGTGATTTGTTTTCTTACAGGCTGCATAATCTTGGTTGCAACTGTTCAGCTCTGCCTAATCTAAAAAGTAGCCATACTCTAATATGTAAACCTGTCCTGTGGGCATGAYTCAGTCTTAATAAAATTCTATTTACTTAAACAAGTGCTGGGCTGAATGTGACCTTGGCATTGCAGTTTTCCAATYCATAATCTAAAGAATATTTCATTCTAGAGCTACTTGGACCCACTATTAGCATGTATTATTTCTAGAGTTACTGTTGAATGTCCTGTGTATTTACCAAGGACTATTCATGGTGGCTGGAAGAAACTCAAAGAGGTCTGGCTCTCTGTGAACACCAGAAACATTTTAGCTCACAGCTCCTAGTTATTATTCTCTTGGAAATTATTCTTTTTCTTCCTTTGGGAACTCTGCCCTACACACATGCAATTGGAATGCAGCCAAAGGCTTGAGCACATCTCTGGATCTCTTCCTCTACACAGCTTCTTTTTCTCTACCACACTGCCTTGTAAATTCCAGCTGTCTCAGTCTCTGTCTCCTCTATTTGCTAAAAACKGTTTTATTCTTGGTTTTCTCTTTTAGATCTTCAATCTGGAAAGTGCCTCTAAGCAAATGCCTGGGGTGATGATAGGCTGTGGTTTTGAGTCCTTTCTCTAGGGGATCACAGTCCTGTGCTTCCTGTTGTTCATTGTTGGAAAACAATTGTTTAATGTATTTTGCCCCAGGTTCCAGTTGCTTTTGCCTGGAGGATAATTTCATACCATCTTACTCCCTCACAGCTGGAAACAGAAGTTACCTCATTATTGGTATGGTTTTCTGTCTTTTCTTTGGCCAGTAAGCTCCCCCAGATGCCAGCTCTTCTAATTTTTTTTTATCATAAATCTATTTTTTTTTGCATTTTCTTAATTTTGGGCATGGGTACTCCTCCCCCACCGCCACCCCAGGCTCATCTTGGACTTTTTTTTTCCCCTCAGCACAAAAGTGACCATCTTTTCAAGAAGACTTTGTTCTTTATAAGGAGGGATCCCATGTAAACATTGTAGGGTATCAGGCAGATGTGCTTCTTTATTAATTAATGGGCCACAGAGCATGAGGTTAAGGGCACAGAGATCCGCTAGGAAAGCAGGGTAATAGAATCATACAAAACAAAATAATGGCTTTGACGAAAATATAGCAGTAGATGTATTCTAATGGTAGGGTTGACAATCGACAGAATTTGCTAAAGATTACATGTAACTTGTGAGATTTTAAAAGTTTACATATGATAACTTTATTTTCTAGGGCTTTGTGGTCATAAACAGATGTGAACTGAACTCACATCCAAAATTTGGTTGGGTGTTGAAATTGATAACATCATATACACTCCAAGAAGACTTGAAGTGTTTTAAAATTGGGAATTTAGGGGAGAGTAAAATTATTATCAAACATGACCCAAAATAACTTGAGCTGAGATAGAAGAGATGAGCTGGCTAAGAGTTTTATAGTGGGGTAGACTGGGGTGAAAGTTTCTCCTTATAGGTGGGGAGATAATGGGTTTAGACTTGCTGCTAAGGTAGATAGCTCTTAGAAATTCTAATCTGGTTTGCCATACCTGAGGCACAAAGGGGGAGAAAAAGGGTAAAACTTAGAGTATGTCAGCAGTTAAGTCAAACAGCAAAAAGTAATTAATTAATTAATTAATTAATTAATTTAAAAAAAACAAGGTTCATTTCTGCACAATGTTCCTTACAAGATTTTTTTTTTCTCTAAGTTGCTCAAAATACAAAGTTGCCATTCCCAGAGATGATGAAGAATGTTAAAGTTTGGGAAGGAAGAATCAGTGTTTAGATTAAGTCTGTTGTTTCAGATGACTTTAGGATATACATTAGGATATACATTGATATACATTTCGGTTTATATAATTGTATAAATTATATAAATATAAATTTATATAATTTATATCAATGTATATATAAACATATAAATTGATATAAATTTACACATTGGTAGGAAATTTCAGTTTATAAAAGAGAACAAATTATACCAAAGTGGTCTCTGCCTAACATAAGCAATTAAAAAAAATCAAAGCTGCACAATTTCATAAGAATTTTAATAACAGAATCACTTAAAGATAGATGCCCTACTCTTAATTGGCGTCTCTCTCTCTCTCTCTCTCTCTCTCTCTCTCTCTCTCTCTCTCTCAAAATAATTTGTAAGCAGGTAAAAATATAATTTGATAATTTCCTTTGGCATCTACCCCAAACAAATTATTATTGTCTGTTATTTTATGACAGAAGTGATTTTTTATTAATGTAGAGAACGTGTTCAAATTTAGTTTTCTGTAGTATTTAAATTATTATATGTTTTACTCATGTAACTATTTTTGCTCTTAAAGTGTAAAACTTTTTTACTATCCTAATATATTAGGTGTATTGACTTGTGTCTTATGTCAGAATTCATGATATATTTCTTTTAAAAACATGTCCAAATTTTTTTCTTTTTGATTTTGGAAGAACTGGTTGTGGCTTAATTCAGTCACTTTAGAGAAAAGCATCATAAGAGTCAGTTTTGTTTTGTATCTTCAAACAAATTGAAATTGACAGAATCAATAAAAATGCTAACTTGTATAAAACTAAATGATCTAGTAATTTTTTTCAGGTTCTCAACAGTTCCTTTAGAAATGATGCAACTGGGCCAACCCCACCTTTACACCTTTTTTTTAAATCAATGGCTTTGAATATCAAGTCAGAAGATAAGAGACCTGGTTCTCAGTCACAGTTCTACTTTGGAAAAATCCAGGAGTCATTTAGCTTATAAAATGCTGAGTTTTCTYATTTACAAATGAGAGAGTYGATGTAAATGACTTCCATTTCTGTGTAGGTTGAAAATGCTTTAATGTTAGGATTCTAAGTCAAGAGTGTAATTGAAGCATTAGAAGTCTTTTTGTCTTACCTTCAATCTACTAAAATGAACCATGCATCCAAATAAAAAGTTTAATCCCATACTGCTAAAAGGATAATATTAGCAATTAACCCAGACAGAAAAAGTTTTGTTAGAGACAGAATGCAGAGTTGAAACTTATTTTCAAAGTATTTGCAAGAGGAAAGACCATATAATCATGCAATTAATAAGCAGTCTAGGAAATACAAGGAGTAGAACACATTTTCTTTCCAGCAGTTTCTATATGAAACTCCACTACTCTTCTACTTCTTTCCTCTTGGCCATCTGTTGTTGAAAATTTGAGGCTGATTCAGGACAGAAGAACTTCTATATGAGGTTGTGTTAGTCAGCTTTCTGTGACTACAACAAATACCYGAGATAATCAACTTATAAAGTGGAAAGGTTTATTTTGTCTCGAAGTTTTAGAGGTTTCAGTCCATGATTGATTGATCCCTTTGCTTTAAGGCCTAAGGTGAGGTAGTATCTCATAGCAGAATGGAGTGGTGTAGGAAAAGTATACGATGTGAAAGAGGAAGGAAGAGAGGAAGGGAGGAAGGGAGGAAGGGAGGAAGGGAGGAAGGGAGGTGGAGGGAGGGACCAAAGTTCCACTGTCTCTATTAAAGTCATGCCTTCTGTGATATAAAGACCTCCCACTGGATCCTGACTCTGAAAGTTTTCACCACCTTCCAATAGCACAATCCTGGGAACAAGCCTCCAAAGCATGGGCCTCTAGAGCAGATTTCAGATCCAAATTATTACCAGAGAACTTCCCAGACCATCCTAAAATAAACCCCTGAAATGTTACCACCTCTGAACCACACCAGCTGTCAGTCACCAGGCAACTTGCCTCTAGTCCTGGGAGTCACCACTTTAGAAGTAAATCAAGGAGTGGTATTATCAGCTCCTCTCCCTTCCTGGTGGGGAAAACAGGAAGAACATTTCTGATTCTGTGCTTACAGAGATCAAATGTGTAGCTAAAATCTCAAGTTGGAAAAGTTTCTGAACCTTTCCTTCTGAAATGTTGCTCTTCATCATGGTTATGTTCTATTGTAATATTAGAACAGTATAATCACAATACCTTGAAAGTTCGTGTTGAACTGCTCTTACTCAAAGCACTTTATTTCACTCATTCATTTATTTATCACCTACTATGTATGGTCCAATCAACATTCTAGGCACTGATCTCATAGATAGTAGTCTCTTTAGTTAGCTCAACTTCTCTAGGATTTTGCTTCTCTCTTTCCCTCTGTCTCTCTTCTTAGACAAGGAAACTAAAGTTCATCAAGTACCAGTATGAACCAAGTCATGTAACTAATAAATATCAGCATTAGAGTTCAAACTCAGTCTTCAAAAGCATTATTCTTTCTGTTATGTTTTCGTTAAGAGGTATCTATGGCTGGCATTGCTTAGCAGGGAAATTGCTTCTAAAATTCCAAACAGCTGACCAATAAATATGCATTTTAAAGAAAAATCTGTTGGAATTCATGCATTAGCTATATATTCATGGTGCTGCTTCTGAGGATGTATCTTGTATATGTTTGGCTTCTGAGAAATATTGATGTGAATGAATGCTAGAATGTACTTCCAAATTCCCCATAATGCATGAGCTCTTTAGCACCTTAAAGATTTTGTTTCAGGGTAAAAAATGGAAGGTTTAACTTTGACTTTCAGATATAATTAATATTTTGAAATGCAGCTTTGGGAGTTTTGGGGTATTTTCCTGGATCRATAAAGTGATACTTCAAAAACTTTTTCACTTGTAAATGATCCTTGTGAGTAATCTTTAGGCCAAAACTCTGGAGCAGATTAGAAGAGAGAGAGAGAAGCGGGCTCAGGTACCTTGAATTCTTACAAACACCATATTCATATATTATAATGACACTACTTTGTCTTGTACCTCACTTGAATGTGCCTGGAATATTCCATTACTCTTTCTCCATTTTTCTCTTTTTAGGTTACTGCCCATATGGCTATCGGGAATGTCGGAATGGTAAATGCTACAGAGCAGAGCAAAACTGTGATTTTGCCGATGATTGTGGAGATAATACTGATGAGAATGAATGTGGTGGCTCTTGTACTTTTGAAAGAGGCTGGTGTGGCTGGCAGAACTCCCTGGCTGAAAACTTTGATTGGGTTTTGGGGATTGGCTCTCATCAAAGTCTCCGACCTCCCAGAGACCACACACTTGGAAATGAAAATGGTAGGTGATTAGGTTGTTAAGGTTGCCCCGATCATATCTACAAGGTACATCTCCTGTCTTCCCTGAGAGCAACCGGAGAAGACGATCACAGTGACACTTGCGAGTCAGTCACACACAGTGTTTTTGTTTCCTGTGGCCACTGTGAAATAGGGTATGGCCATGAAACTGGGTGTCTTAAACAAAAGGTATTTATTGTCTCACATTGCTGAGAGCCAGAAGCCCAAGATCAAGCTGTTGGCAGAGTTGTTTCCTTCTGAAGGTTCTCAGGGAGAAGCATTTCCTCCATACCTCTCTCCTTGACTCTGACAGCTTTAAATGTTCCTTGCTTATAAATGACGGTTGCTTCTGTGTTTTCATTTGATGCATGTGTTTTTCTCTGCCCCAAATCCTCCTTGTCATTACCATGCAATCATATTAGATTAGGGTCTACTCTGATAGCCTCATCTTTACTTCATCATCAGCAAAGATCCCATTTCTCTTTAAGAGGACTAGGGTTAGGGCTTAGCAATGGGATGGGAGTTACAATTTTACCCACAACAGTGAATTGCCAAAATCTAATATCAATCACTGTTTTGATAGATGGTTAGGTGATAAGCGAGGCTATCATCAGATGTCACTCCTAAATGGCAGGCACTTGTTGTAAATAACCCTAAATTCTGACACTCATTTGATCATCAGCAAGTCACTTAGTTTTCAGAATCTCAGAGTCTTCATTTGGAGTTCATGAATTTTTCACTGTGTAGCTAGCAAAGGTTGTGCAGATCACATGAGATGATGTATATAAGGGGAAAGGTCTTTGCAACCTGTCGAGAGACTGTGAAAATGTAACCACAAAGCCACATATGTTAAGAATGTTGGGTGTGGATTATTTTTGAAATAAATCTCAGTCTTGTTGCTCAAGGAGCAAACAACATGAGCCAAATCCCAAACTAGGGAATGCCACAAAATTGTGAAAAGATGTTTAAATATTGGTATTCCATAGGTCTGTTTTAAAAAATCAACTAAGCCAGGTTTACCAAGTCAGAGCATAGAAGACCTAAATCCCATTCAAACACTCAGTTCTCCATACATGAAATTTTGTTTAATACACAAGAATAAATTTAATCCCTTTCCTCTCATGTTGCATATCAAAATTCTCAGTTTTTTATTTACACACTCATCAAGTGACTGAATATTTGAAAGCACATGATATTCCCTTATTTAGATTTCACAGGGAACTGTGGCACTGTTTTATAATAACTGGATAGCTGAAGGAGTCCATTAAACGATTTCTATAACTGTCTTGTTGATCTGATGGCATAAATATCCTGTCAGATCAGTTCATCTGCATACTGTGAGGCACTTCACTAAAAGCACAGACAGTTGGAAATTGTCCTGTCAGTGAGCTAGGGACAAGGCCATTAGATTTATTCTCTGTTTCAAATGGAAATGCTATTGGCAGCTCAGAAGATCTTATGAAATGTAATTAAAAACCCTAACTAAGATGGAGAAACTAAAATAATCCCCTCATTGTTATTTCCATCCCATGTGAATCCTATCCTTGTTTCTAGGGCACTTCATGTATCTGGAGGCTACTCCAGTGGGACTTCGGGGTGACAAAGCCCACTTCAAGAGTGCTGTATGGCAAGAATCCAGCAGTGCCTGCACCATGAGCTTCTGGTATTTCATATCTGCAAAAGCCACCGGGTCCATTCAGGTTCTCATTAAGGTAGGATCTCAACTGGAGAAGCCTCTGAGTTTGGTGAGGTTCCTGAAGGCAGCACGTAGCCTGAGGGAGGGAATAAGCATCCTTTCATCTCCAAAAGCTACTCCTGTGGCCCAGATGCTCTGAGGTTTGGTAGACTGGGGCATGGGAACCAGCTTTGAGTTCATCATCATGCCTTGTGAATCCCAGAGATTCCCTTTGTGCTAATAATTAACCTTTCTTTCTATTAAGTTTCCTTCCCTATCTATTTTTTTTAAAAAGAAAAAAGATTATTTGTCTATCTGATAGGAGAGCAACTAACCGTTTTTTTTTCTCCTCCATGAGTAATCATTAAGGGAACTAATAATAGCCATTCTGGTTGTAAGCACACTGTGCAAAGGCTGAACGGCTCAGAATAATCAAGGTATGATTACTTTGAACTGCTTATTAACTGTGACACACTAATGCATTTTCTTACTGAGGATTAATTGGATGTTTCCGTCAGAGCTTTAATTTAGTATAACAAAGTGACCGTGTTCGGGGAACAAAATAACAGTCAATATTAATATTAATGAGACCTGGTTCAAATACCTTTACTCTTTAACAAGTTAAAACAGCAACAAAATCCAGGTGTATGGGTCTACGCATTTATTTCAAGAATCTAGTTGGAATTGCAACAAACCTTATTTTAAAACATACTGTAGTGGCCACTGCTATTTTATCACACATGAGATTAAGGTGAAGTGTCCCAACACTGATGGCAGTGGCCTGACCCAAATGCCAAAGAATCATGTCTGTTCATGTATCTGAATAGCTCACAGGTGCATAGTTCATGTTTTATTGAAACCTGAACTGACTTTATAACCTAGGACTCTTCTAGAGCTATGCAGAAAAGCCAGCCAAGTAAGACACACACAGCAAATAATCACAGCAACTTATTCTTATGGCTTCAATATGGAAACTTACTGAAACATAAAACTTCACATTCTCGCAGGAGAATTTCATCAGCTGTCTTCTAAATGTGATACTTGGTTACGTGGCATGCACTGTGTGTGTGGGGGGGATTTGGTAGTGCTCTGTGGAGTTTGATTTTATCATTTGCTTCCTTCATATTTACTTTTCAACAGTCTTACAATTTAGGAACAAACTTTATATAAAATATAGAAATTAAGCCATTTTGAGATATTAATATCAAGGCACGTAGAACTCCTGTTTCCTCTGACTGATTTCTGTGAAAATTCAACTATGTTTTTCAACACACACAAAAGAACATATGCTTATTTTCAACGTATATGCATATTTTGGAGCTGGGGTGTGGCTCCATGATAGAATGGTTGCCTAGCATGGACAAGGTCCAGGTTTTTATCCTCAGCACAGCAAAATCAATCAATCAGTTATGTTTACACTCATATAATCACATGGATTGTGAAGGACAAAAATCTTCCATTGCATGCATTGAATTTATAGCCATGAGTTTTGGGAAAATCATTTTATTTTGGTAACATGATACATATTTTTAATCATCATTACAAAGGCTTCTTTCTGTGTGGAACCCCATATTGGATTTTACCTTGCTCTTGAGTTTGAAAGTATCTTATCCATAGGACAAATCCAACAGGGGCAGGAATTCTGCTTTACTCTTCATCTTTGAACATATTTCCAGTTTATGGATATGCTCCCTCTGAYTCAATGTTCCCTGCTTATCAGGATGGTCCCTTTCTGTGTTAGCCCCACACCAAGTCCAGCACAGTCTGGAACATTTAGCCTCTTTCAAAATCTTCCTTGACCACCTTTGGTCTACTACCATGATCTTTCATTTTCAAAGCATTCCCCACAGCTCTGGGAATGATTACAGCTCAATGGTTGGTAAATCATTCTATTTAAACAAATGAATTGCAAAATCTTGAGAGCAGGGCCACTGAAGTTTTAGTTTTTGCCTTCCTTCTCAGGTCTTTGCTCAATGAAGCAACTAGGGGGTGCCTTCCAGAATCCCTTGTTAAGAGTTGCCTGTCATGGAATGGCTATGATGTATTATATGCATGGTCTTCGAGTCTGTTTGAAGAATTTGTAATCAAAAATCTTAAATATATGCATGCAAGTAGACATAAAGGCATGCAGCAATTGAACAACAATTTAATGGTAGCATAATTAATATGGGGTGGTCTTGATTACAGATTACAGCAATTATACATAGTAGCAGATACCATTTATTGAACATCAGACCCATATTGTTTCATTTCAATCTTGGCACAACCCTCTGAGTTAATGTGAGTCCCATTTTAATAAAGGACTAATGGAATCTCCCAGAAATAACCTAAGGACCTGATGACTCACTCTGTTAGTGACAGAGTGGGAATTTGAATCTAGGTGTGTGTGCACACAAAACTCACATGCTTACTTCCTCACCTCCATATCCAAGTCCACACTCTAACAATGAAATGGAGATTGTATTTTACTGAGACTTATAGGTAGTGCCTTCAATAATTCTCTAGAAAAATGAAATAAATATTATTCTTAGAATGGAGAGAGATGATACTTAAACTATTCCAGTAATAATGAGTGAATCAGGGAAACCTCAGAACCAAAAAGCCATTTCTTTAGAGAACATTTAGTGAAAATCAGCACTATTTTACAGGTTGCATATTTTCTATTTTTCCTCCTGTATTTCTTTCTGTCAGTCAAATGACAGATACTTTTTATTAAAGAGATGCAATTGAAACAATGTAATATTTGTATGGAGAAACTGATATTGTTTTTCTTTCCTTTGATGTTTGTTGTAATTATAAATGGGAAAAATAATATGGTACTTTGAAATGTTTTCAAGAGTAAGAACAAATTTTTAAAATACAGTTAAGGTTTTATGACATCAGATAATTAAACAGGTTAGTTTTTCCTCACTAGTTGCTTATGCCAACCCAAATTCTTTATGAATGGGAGTCAATGGGAAGTGGTTAATCTTCATTTTATGGGTCAGCTAAGTGAGGCTAATCAAGGTTAAGTAGTAAGTCTAAGTTCAAAAGTAAGTGTGTGAGCTAGGACTTTAACTCAAGTGTTCTGAAGTTAAGATTGAAATGCCATACAATCAGTTTGGTTTTTGTCTCTCAGTGGATGATGTTTAAATGTTGTTTATCTGGAATAAGTAGACAGCAGCCTTTTCTGGATTCAGGAAGAATTTATATTTAATATAAGTATGTTTACTTTTGATAAGTTTTTATTATTTTTACCTACGTTTGAACTCATTCACATTCAGTATTAAATTTCTCATTTAATTTAAATGCATTACTTTTCAGACCACTGAAGATTTAAAATAAAAATAAAGCAAGTATTTTGGAATAGAAGAAGGGTTCCACAGCACAAAAGTTAACTTGGTTTAGAAATATATTTAATCTTACTGCCAGAATTTTACTTATTTTTCTAGTTACCTGATTTCTGATGGGGTTAAATAAGGACAAATAACATGCAGATGTGAGCATACCAAAATAATTTTTGAGGAATTTTAAAATTTGCTTTGTGTTTGACAGTTTATTTTTTTAGTTAAAAGTCTATCTAGCCTCATCAAGAAACAAAAGATCTTTGCATCTTTTCAGCTAGCCATTTGAATAAAATACAGGAACACCTGCTATCTGAGGAATATTACCCTTCTTTGGAAGTACTCCATCTGTAATAAACTGTTGATATTTTAATCAAGATGACTGCATGCTTTGGGGAATTTAAATATATTTAATTGAAGGCATTCAGGACTATCCATTATGTAGTCATGATAGAACACATAATATATTCAAGCCAGAAGTGGAGAAAAATAATGTATTTCAGGAGAGCTCTCCTGATAGAGCAACTTAGTTATGCTGAGAGGCCATAATTAAATTAGTTCATTGTTTTATCTTGCTTAGTGTTACAGAATATTTTAGAGCTGGTGGGGTTGGTTTCTTCAAAATAAATCTAATCTGAGCTATTCATTTTACAGAAGATGGAAGTAAGAGTAAGAGGTTATATTTCTTACCTCCATGCACGTATATTTTAAGAAAAAATTAGGATATGAATAGGAATTTTCTGCCTTCTAATTTAGGGCTCTAAATTGAGTTCCTGGAAATTTTATCTAATCATTGTCATATTCAAGATGGAAATATAGTCTCCCTATTCATGTGTTTGTATCTATGGATTAAACCAACCATGGATCAAAACATTAAAATAAAATTGTATCTATACTAACTGTATGCACACTTCTTTGGTCATTATTCCCTAAGCAATATGGTCTAACAATGACTTCCATAGCATGTACATTGTTAGAGATGATTTAGGGTATGTGAGAGGATGAACTTAGATATATGCAAATACTCCTCCATTTTATATGAGGGACTTGAATATCCATGGATCTTGGTATTCGTGGAGGCCCTCGAACCAATCCCCTGTGGATACTGAGAGGTGACTGTTATAGATTTTGTTAAGACGACCATAGAAAAAGTCAAATGATTAAACAACAGGCTAGTTTCCATTGCTTACTTAGAAGACGTGTTCATGCTGAAAAACTTTATCCTAAATGTAGCAAACAGTGAGTCTTAGTTGGACACAGGAGTCTAATGACTTAAAGATAAGAGCGCTCTAGTCTTCCACCCTCAAATACTCACCTCCATTCATACTCACTACAACCCCCATGTGAAATCTACAACTAATTGATAATAATACATGTGGGTAACTATTACAGTACATTGGAGAGATTTTTTTAAAAATCCTTTAGCCTTTTTTTAAATTTCCTTCAACCCACTGAATATCTAATGTTATTTCAGGCAAATTATTGCCATTTGATTCATTATTCAAAGAATGAGAATATCTGCATGGGAAAATCAGTTTTGCAAAGAGCAACATGGATTTTGGACAATATATCAACTAAAGTAAATTTTTAGTGCCAGATTTAATTATCCTTTTAAGAATTGTTTCTGGGGCTGAGGACGTGGCTCAAGYGGTAGCGCACTCGCCTGGCATGCCTACGGCCCGGGTTCTATCCTCAGCACCACATACAAACAAAG